TGGGAAGAAGATGGGGAGGATGGAGATGATGGGGAGAGGATGGGGAGGATGGGGAGAGGGTGGGGATGATGGGGAGAGGATGGGGAGTGGGAGGAGGATGGGGAGAGGATGGGGAGGATGGGAGGAGGATGGGGAGAGGATGGGGAGGATGGGGATGATGGGGAGAGGATGGGGAGGATGGGGAGAGGATGGGGAAAGGATAGGGAGTATGGGGAGAGGGTGGGGATGATGGGGAGTGGATGGGGAGGATGGGAAGAAGATAGGGACGATGGAGATGATGGGGAGAGGACGGGGAGATGCGGAGAGGATGAAGAGGATGGGGAGTATGGGGAGAGGATGGGGAGAGAATGGGGAGAGGATGGGGAGGGTGGGAAGGATGGGGAGGGTGGGGAGAGAGTGGGGTGAGGAAGGGCTGATGGTCATGGAGGTGTCTTTCTGCAGCCTAATACTGAGTGGGCCTCTCCTGGTGTCGGTCTTGAAGTCACCTTTACTGACTATGTCCAGTAGTTCTGCCCACCTGTTGGGAGCCCCCATGTGGCCAGCACCCCCAGACCCACTTACGTCCAGGGGACAGGCATGCTGTGATGTTCCAGGGAATTCAGCTGGAAACAAAGCTGATTTTGCTGTTTCTCTTCATGTTCCCACTAATGGTCTTTTCAACCACGGTCTCATTTTCATTTCTATTTCCTGCCAAGATAAACTCACATTCACAGGCTCATTAACCTTCCCACTTCTCTTGGCGTGTTGATGAGGCGCCCTGGCTCCCTTACAGGACTGAGGCCCGCGGCCAGGGCTTGGCTGGTGCCCACCAGCATCCTCCATCAGGACCCAGCTACAGGTCTCCAGCATCAGATTCAGACACACAACCAGGAGCTGTGGGGCTCCAGGAATGGTGGGAGGCTTTAGCAGGGCTCCAGCAGGTCCCACCCTGGCCTGTGGGCCTCATGGGGACCCCTGTGTCCTGCAGCCTGATGCGCCCCTCCTTTGGGGACCCAGCACAAGGTGAGCCTTGTCCAGGACAGTATGGCAGGGGTGGGGTCAGGCCTGCCCAGGGAAGGTCTGGTGCCTGGAGCCACCCCAAACCTTGGCTCCACTTTGGGGCTGCTGGGGTCCTTCACATGTCCAGCTGCTGTGTGCTAAAACAGCCGGGGCCGCAAATCTGTGTGGGGAGTTTGATTTATGCCCTGTGCCCATAACTCCCTAGCGCCAGGGTCCTCTAAGTGGGGAGGGGGGCAGGTGGGCATGGCAGCTAGAAGGGCCAGGGGAGCCTGAGGTGGGGCTGACTGTGGCCTGGCTCTTCTGGCCCTGTGCCCAGAGCAGGTGCAGTCTGAAACCCGTCTGGCCAAAGCCACAGAGAGCTGGGTCTTCTGTCCCTTTGGCCCCTGGGCTGAAGCTGCGCAGAGACTGAGGTCCCACTGGCCTTCTGGGGACACAGGATAAGTGGGGTATTGCCCAGGAGGGTCTGGCAGGGGCTCTGAAACCCAGCTCAGGGGTCAGGCAGCTGGCCACCTTGTCTTGTCTTTGGCCACCCCAACCTCCTCGCGTGCCCTTCCTGGTCAGCAATATGATGGACTGGCTGGGCAGGGCTCAGGCATTAGAGCACATTACTTGGGCTCGCTCAGGCTGTGGGGAGTGGGTGAGGGGCACACAAAAAAGTGGGCCTGATCACCACGGGCTGTGGCTGGAGCCAGCACACACGCCCCTTGAGGCGGAGAGCCCCCACACCAGGGCGGGTCCCCAGTCTCCCCACCGCTCCACATGGCCATGGCTTCTGGCCTGGGCCATGGCTATGCACCATGGTTTGGGGAGCTTTTAGGGTGATGGCTGGAGTGAGTCAGAGCTCAGGATGAATGGCTGTGAATGGTCATCCCGAGAGGCAGGACAGGCCAGAGAAGGAGACGCCCCCTGCCCAGAACGTCCAGCTGCCCCTGGAAGACACACCTGAGCCACACTCAGCCGCAGTGTGAGTCCCAGCTGCAAGCTGCGGTGGCCCCCTGCGTCAAGCTGGTGACGAGGCTGCTGCTGACACTCCCCGGTGACACATGGGGGAACAACAGTGTCACCAGCTGTGCCTAAGGTGATATGGGCCAGCAGCCCTTCTGGCTAGCTGGTTGGCAAAGTGTGTTGAGTGAGGGGATCATAAACGCTTCCTGATGTGGGAACTCGGCTTGGCCTCTCAGCCTGGAGAACAGAATGAAGGACAGCGGAGCAGAGAGAACTAGCGGGCTGGTCCTACGGCGTCCCATCACAGGGGCCGGCGGCACCTCCGAAGCCCACCCTCAGTGACCTGCAGGGCGCAGTGAGGTGGCAGGGCCGTGAGGGCTGAGGCACGGTTCCCCTGCGGCAGCTGGCAGGGTGCAGGCCCCCTGGACGTGGGCACCCCTGGCCCACCTGCTGCCCTACCCTCCCAGGCAGCCTTGCCAGCCTGGGCTGACCCACGTAGGCCCAAGTCAGTGCCCCAGGAGCCCTCCTAGGGATTTCGCCCCCCGCGCTTCCAGCCCTGACAGTGGGAGACTGGGTTGAAGGTCATTAGGATTTTATTTCATAAAAGTCACAATGTGTTTTCTCTGCTCATGCCTGTCCTCACGCTCACTGCACTAAAAACCACAGTGAACACAGAGCTACTCCCAGCTTCTCATCTTTGGCCAAAATACGTGCAGATAATAAAGTACTGCGGAAGCCAGCAAGAGAGCCCATAAATAAAATGGCGCGGCTGCCTCCTGCCCATGCGCCCCTTGAGGCCGAGCGTGGAGCCCCACAGTGGCCTTGGGGTGCAGAGAGTGGCCTCGGGGTGCAGATTGGCTTTGGGTGCAGAATGGCCTCAGGGTGCAGAGTGGCCTTGGGATGCCAGTGCTCCCCCGGGGTGGGCAAGGCATTGGCCAGGCAGAGCGGGGCTGGCCATGGGGACGAGGCCCAGGGCCTGGCTGCTGGCCAATGGTACTGAGCATGTGGCCACCCTGTCTCATATGTGGGGGAAGGGGTGCGGGGGTTGGGAGGTGCTCTGGTGGGGAGAAGGTGCCAGAGAAAGGGCCGCTTGCTAAGACCCCTGGGATAGGGGAGAATTCCTGAGCCCATTTCTCAGAATCAGTGTCAGGTCTGGCCTTCTGCCCCCACAGCTCCTGACAGCAATTCATAGCCCAGAGCCAGCAATGCCTGGTCCACACCGAGGGGAAGACACCCCAGACACAGCCCCCAGGACCGTGGCCAAGGGGCTGAGTGCCCACTAACTGACATGGCTGCTGCCCCTGCTGGCCGTGTGTCCCTGCCCTGAGGTGTGAGGGATCTCTCACTCTGCTCACGGCAACAGGAAGCCCTGCTAGGGAGAGAAGGCCCTTCCAGAGGTTTATGGACATGGGGAAGCAAGTGCAGTTAAGCGTCCAGCTCAGGCTCTGGAGGACGGTTTCTTGAGGGGTGGAGGGGCACCCAGCAGTCAGGAGCCAGGCCGAGCCGCGGCCCCACAGGCCCTTCACATTGGTGGGGACAGGGAAGCAGCCAGAGACTCCAGCCAAGACCAGGGCAGCAGTCAGGTGCCAGGACAGACCCTCAACCAGAGGCCAGCTAGGCGGGGCCCTGGGAGAGCCTTGGTCCCAGGTCTGGCTCCCGGGAGCCTGCGGGCATGTTCAGCAGCCCAAGAGCGACTCCCCTCCCCCATGGGCCACCAAGCGCCTCTGCAGGGCTCAGCAGCTGGACACTGTTGCTCAGGGGGCACCTGCAGGGAGGGGCCCTGGCCCTGGGACCAAGCCAGGGTGTCACAGGAGTGGACGGGCAGCCCCAGAAGGACTGGCCAGGAGGCTGCCGTCTGTGTCCCAGGCTGTGAGCTGGGCTGGGGCTCCCTCACTGGGAGAGTTGCAGTGAAGATGACATCGGGGTCCACGGTCCGTCCAGACGGTCATGCAGAGTGGGCCCTGGCGAGGGCGGCTGGTCGGGGTGCTGTGGGTGCAGCAGGTAGAGCTCTGCTCACACGGCAGACAGGTCCACGTGAGCGGCGGAGTGGCTGCTCCGGTCCCAGGGGCTGAGTTTGGTGGAGGCAGTGCCCGGCCGAGTCCCGTTCACCTGTGGTGTGAGGGACACTAAGGCCAGTGCCACCCTGAAGAAGCCAGCGCCACCCAGGCCTGCTCCTCGGGGAGCTCCCAAGCTCCTCCGCCTCCCCGGTTCTGGCTCAGTCACTGTCCTCCCTCGCCCCCCGGCTGGGCCTCTCCTCGGCTGAGGGGCAGTGGTGAGCACATGGCTACCACATCCCACAGTACAGACTTAGGGGGGCACAGGGCCCCAACAGCACACTGACTGGGCAGGCCTGCTGTTTCAGGCTGTCCAGGAAGAACGGGGTGAGCCTGGGATGCTGGGCCGGAACAGCAGAGCGGTGACACTGCCCAGGGGGTAGTGGACAAGCTGGACACTGACAGGGCGGGCCCTTCAGACCCCGAGTAGGGATGCTGGTCAGGGTATGCCACAGTGCCATGTCTGCCTCAGCCAGCATGTCCCCTGCCCCCTCTGTCAACACAGGAGCTGCTGGGTCTGGGAGGGTGGGATGGAGGCCGGGAACCCCATGGGCTGTGATGGGGTGGCCACAGCAGAGCCCATGGCTGCCCCCCCTCATACCACCCCGGGCAGCCGCCTGCCCCACTTAGAACCGCAAAGTCCAAGGCTGCCCTTGAGTAAACCAGGCTGAGGTGGGAGAGCTCAGGCGGCCAGCGAGAGCCAATGGGGGGGCAGGCCCCATGGGCAGGACACCGGCCCAGGACAGGCCCAGTGGGGGGGGGGGACCGTGGGCAGGCCTCACTCACAGTGTCAGAGCTGAAGGGCTTGGCCTGGCCGCCGCGGGTGGAGCTGCTCGTGAGTGACCAGACCTTGGTTTTGTGCTTGAAGGCGGCTCTCACCTGGGGGTAGTGGGGAGAGCTCAGGGGGATAGCAGGAACTGAGGGGTGCTGTGCCAATGGAGGCAATGGCCACAGGAGGGGACGGGATGGGGCCGCAGGGCCGGGCTGGCTCTGGGGCTGAGCAGGGGTCCTCTCTGCCTGGGGCTGCAGCCACCCCATGCTGGCCACGGCCAGCTCCTGCAGCCACGTGGTCCTTCCCAGTCCACCCTCGGGACTCACTGGACCTCGTCTCTGCCCCTGCCTGCCCACCTGGTACAGATACCTCACTCTGCTAACAGAGCAAGGACTGGGCTTTTGCCAGCCCCTTCGCCGGCACTTGCCCCCGCTCCCCAAAGGTGGAGCATTTCCCACAGGACTAGGGGTTCGGGGACAGCGTACACAGGAGCAGCCTCCCTCCCACTGCCAAGATCACAGCAGGCACAGCCCAGCCCTCCCCCAGGCGTAGCCCCTATCTGCTCCGTGACCAGGCCATCCCCCAGGGCCCAGGCAGCAGCCCCACACCCTGGGAGGGAGGAGGGCAGGGAGCCCCATGGCCAGCAGCAGTCCTGACCTCCACTCAGCCCAGCCTTGGCCACTTGGCCTCCAGCCCGAGCCGGTGATGTTGGGCAGGTGGGGGTGGGGGAGGGCAGGTGGCATGAGGAGAGGCAGAGCGAACCGGCCCTCGGCACAAGGCTGGGGGCCTAGACGCCAGCCTGAACCCAGCAGACGCACCTCCGAATTCAGCAGGCAGTGGAAGAGGAAGATGAAGAGTCCCTGGAAGGAAGGAGGGACACAGGTCAGTGGATGGCCTTGCCCAGCTCTCCTGAGGGCCACTGCAGGCCTGGGCCCTGGCAGCAGGGGCACTTCAGGGGGCTAAGCTGCAAGGTGGACGCTCTGTGTCCTGAGCTGCGAGGGCTGGACATCCAGCTCCAGCCAGCTGTGCTCCACCTGGGCGCAGCAGCACGTGGCAGGGGCCGAGCAGGTCGGGGCCCACATGGCAAGGACACAGTGTCCACATGGGCTAGTGTCTTGTGGGCTGCGAATAACAGTGTGCAGAGTGGGGGTCAGCAGACCACTTTGGGCCCCTCCACAGGTCAGGCCTGGGACCACCCTGCCTCATCTCAGCTGGTGCTGGCAGCCCAAACGGGTCTGTTCTCCCCAGTTTATGGAAGGGACTCTGAGGGAGGGGAGAGTAAGGGGAACCCTAGGGCTGGGAGTGGTGAGGGCTGCCTCCTGGGCCACTGGTCAGAGACAAGTGAGCAGCAGCCACTGGTGAGGACGCCCACAGCAGGCACCGAGAGCTAGGCATCTGGGGCACCATCTCTGCCCTCTCCCAGGCTCCAGACCCCACCTCCTGTGTCTAGCCTCCAGGCTGCTGGCTCTTCCCTGCCCCTCACCCAGAAGCCGAGGTGCCCCTTGCCATCCAGGCTGACCGCCCTGGCTGGCCCTCCAACCCCGCTGCCCCAGACCTAGTGTGAGCTCCAGCCGTGCCTGCCCTGGGGCCACTGGACCCAGGCCATGGGCTCTGGGGGGTAGGGGACAAAGAGGGTCCCTGCCACTGTGGGACTCCACTCCTCACCCACCGACTCATTGAAGCTGGTGGCCAGCTCACTGCTGCCCGCCCAGGGGCGCTCACCTGTAAGGAGTTGAGTATGGCAAACAGGTACTGGAAGACCACAGCTTGGCTGTTGATGGCAAGCACGCCGAAGACCCACGAGGTGCCCAGGATGGGCATCAGCACGGCCACGGCCTTGGCCGTCAACCTGGAAGACACGCAGCCACCTGGGTGTTGGGCAGGGTGCCCAGGCCTGAGGAGTGGCCGGCTGGCTAGTGGGCCCTTTGGCCCAGGTGCAGCATGGCCTCCCCTGCTGCGGTGGACCCGGGGCCTGCCCCGCCGTGGGCACAGCCAGCACCAGTGCCCGACGGAGGTGCAGTGCCCAGGACAGCTGAGTGAGCCACTGAACGAGGGCAGGTAGCCATGGCCGCTTGGGTGAGTGGGTCGGCTGGGGCAGGGGCATCAGGGGCAGGTGGGAACTGGCCCACACCCCGGCAGCACTGCTCATGCTGGGTTCTGCCTCGGAGGAGCCGAGGCTGGCACCCAGAGACACCCGCCTCCCAGGCAGTGGTTGGTGACCCACGGGCTGCGCTGGTCACCTCTGCTGCCCACTATCAGCCTCATGCCAAGTTGGTCGGGGGAGGGAGTCCTGGGTGGAGGGATGGATGGACGGATGGACAGATGGAGGAAAGGAAGGATGGATGACAGGCAGATGGATGGGAGTGAATGTGCCCACACGGGTCTGGCACCTGGGCGGAACCCGGCACAGGGCTGCCTGCACAGACCTGCTGGCACTGACAGCTTGGCGCAGGCTGCAGCACCCAGTGGCCCTGCCGGCTCCCAGCATCCACTTGTTCCCTCCGTAAACACAGTTTAGATAAAATGGCTTGAGAGGAAAGCACCAGGAGCCACTTAGCCCTGTCCCCGGTCCTGAGACTGTGTGGAGGAGCCGTCCCCCCTCCCCCAAAACACGGGTCACCCACACTGGCTTCCAGGCGGGGGTGCTTCTCCTTTAAGGCAAAGCCATAAGACACCGGCTCTGGGGACATGGCCAGCTGAGCCATGGCCGCTACATGGCCCCCGTTGTGGTGGGGCGCTGGGGGGGGGCAGTTGGCACCTGTCCAGACATGCTCTGTCTCTACCTATGTGTCACCACCTCTGAGAGCCAACCCAGGAGTAGAGAAGAGATGGTGAGGGGGGTCAGGGCACCCCCCACCGGATGCAGCCTGGATGTCCCAGAGGCTAGTTCAATGCGCGAGGTGGCCTCAGCAAACCCTGCTGCTGAAGTCCTTGTATGATGTCAACTGCCTGTTTCACAGACACCCCAAACCCCAGGCCCCTGGGGAACCAGCTGTTACGTATTCACTGGGCTATGTTTGGGAGTGGGAGTGACCCCGCCTCCCCAGGCTGGCCGGGGAGGCAGGGTCACTCGAGGCTGAACAACTCTGCATGGCCCCTCTGGGTAGGCTTTCGGTTACTTGCTGCAGGGGGGCCCTCCAGGCCAAGAGCCCCTGTGCCCCCTGGGTGCCGGGTGCCCGGGATCCCCCCAAGTGCAGCGGTAGGGCCGGCTGGGCTTACTTGAAGACGTTAGGGTCTCCGTGTATCTTGTAGTTGCCGGTGCTGATCTGTGCAATCACCCGTGTCACAGCAACCAGGATGCCGGTGTTGGCCTGGGGAGGAGATGCAGTATGTCCAGTCTAGCTGGGCCGCACCTCCCTGGTCCAGTGACCCGGAGAGAGACAGCAGCTTCCAGAGCCAGGCAGCTCTAAGGCCCTGAGCTCCCAGCCGGCCCCAGGGCACAGCAGAGGCCCTGTGACCACGGGCCCTGGCCGAGGTCCTCTGAACTTCGTTTTCTCCGGGAGTGACAAGGACTAATGACACCACCAGGCATCTAGGCGACAGTGGGAGCCTTGTGGGTGACAAATACAGCCCCCCTGACAAGCGGCTGCCGTGGGAGTGGAGCCCCCTGAGGGGCCAGAGTATGCAAACCCCACACGGCCTTGGGACAGGGGACTGGCCTTGCCCCGAAAGTTCCACCAGGCCACCTGGCATCAGCCCCAGCCTCGAGTGAGGAACTGAAGGCCCGTCCAACCCACGTGGGAGCCGGGGCCCAAGCCCTTCCTGGGCAGCAGCAGGGCCACAGATGTCAGAGAGAGAAGCCTGAGGACCTGCCTGCCCCTCCCTGGGCATTTTCTGGAACAAGACACCCAGGGGACTGTTCCCAAGTACATGGAGGAGATGGGGTGAGGTCCACCCATCTGCGTGCCCAGAGCCCCTCCCATGCCAGCTCTACCCCAGGACCTACCGCCACAACCAGCAGGGCGGGGCCCACGAAGGCCCAGATGGCTCCTGAGCCCAGCGACAGCCAGCAGCTGTGGGGAAGTGCATGGTCAGTGCAGCGCCCTGAGCACACAGGCCAGCAGGGCAGCGGCCGGACATGTCCCTCAAACCAGCCTACAGGCTCATTTGTCTGTGTTCTGGAAAGACTCCCCAGGCCAGAGGCCAGCTCAGGTGGAAGGTCCAGGGCTCAAGAGGGTGTGGTGTCGACAGCCCCCACCCGCCACGGCCAAAGGAGGCTCCACTTTGCTACATGAGAGCCCACCCAGCTTTCTGGAGCTGCTCTTGGGGGTGGCCTGGGCTAGGGGACTGTGGCAGAGCCCCGCCCCCCACCCCCCAGCACCGGGAAACACCAGGGGCCCAATGCAGGTGGCCATCCTTCAGGGCCTCCTCTGCTCAACACGGGCTGGAGGAGGGGTGCCCCACCACGGCAGGCGTGTCACCACCCAGCCCTTAGTGCTCCCAGACCCTGATCCGGGCACTCCAGTCCCACCTGCCGCCCCCTGAGCCAGGAGGTCAGACTCCCACCCTTGGGCAGCGACTCCTGCAGACCCCTCTCCTGCAGGCCCAATGACCTTGCTCCAGCTGGTGAGACACTACCAGGCGGCGGCGCCCCAGGTCTCCTGAGAAGCCCCCCTGCGCAGCAGCGCCAGGCACCCCACTTACTTGTTACTGGTTCCATAACTGTCCATGGCAGAGGATACGGAAATGATGCAGATGAGCAGGGGGCAGCCTGCAGAAAGCGAGAGGGGGCGCCTGGGCGGTCACTGGCTTCCTCTGACCACGCAGAGTGCTCGCCAGCCTCTCCCCCAAGGGCTGCGGGGACGCTCACGTGACCCACACTCCCCCCACGAGGCGTGGCAATGGCCGCCAAGCTGTCTGTCCGACCTGGAGGTCTCAGAGAGGGAGGTGCTATTCCCCCCACCCACACTGCCCATGTACTGGGGAGGACAGGCTGGACCCCCAGTTAGTGGGAGGACAGACATAAGAAGGCCTCCGCGGGAACTAGTGTCCATCACAGTGGACACAATGTCAGGAATGCGGGAGCATGTGCCACATGGTGCTCCTTCCCACCGGGCCTTTGGGGCACAAAAAGACAATATGAGGGTGAAGTCATCTCTCCCCTCCGCCCCCTGCTGCCCCCCCGCCCGCCTACCCCACCCGAGGCCGTAGTAGTAGAGATGCTTGCTGTCCTCCGAGCCGAAGACCTGGACCACCATGCTGTAGAGGTGCAGCCCCTCGGCCAGCATCCAGGCGAAGGCGCTCAGGAAGAAGTAGTGCAGCAGCACAGCGAGCACCCGGCACGGGACCTGCACACACAGGCCTCCTGGACGTGTGCTGCTGGGCTGGCCAGCACCCCCAGGCTCCGGGCACTGCATCCCCCTCCCTGGGAGGGCAGGGGCAGCCGCCGGTGACTGCAGCAGCCGAGCAGCCCGAGCTGGAGCCGCGGCTGAGCTCTCACTGTGTCGGGGACCCTGAGCTGGGTGGGGCCTGCCCTGTGCCTGGGCCCGGCCGGCACCCACGGTTGGCTGGAAGCGCCCCCTGCCCTCCTCAGTGGTGGGGGCTGGGGAGCCACCTCCCCCTCCCTCTGGAGTCCACGTGTGTCTCTGGGCCAGCTCTGAATTCCCAGCTGATAAAACAAGTAGGAAAAGGTGCTCCCAGTGCCCCTATGGGTTGGGGGCGGGTGTGGGGTGCCTACTCACGGTGCCAGCGTCCAAGCGGAAGCTGATGAGCAGCAGGACCTGGGCAACCAGCACGGCCAGGGACAGGTTGGCGTGGATGTGGTAGCGCTGGTTCTGGATGGTGCTCACTGAGCTGTGGGCAAAGGCGGGCAGTCCGTGCAAAGGCCCTGAGGCTGCCACCTGCTGCTAGTTACCCTGCCTGCTACCCCCGTGGGCCCTCTGCTGAGCCCTGCCTCCCTGCTCTCTGAGCCCTCTGCTTCGACAGCCGATGGCTGCAAATACCCTTTTCCGTCTCCCCTGAGTGAGGGTTTCTGAGGGAAGGGAAGGGTACCTCTCCTCTGCCAGGCTAGTCCACTTGGGATTACCCTCTGTGAACACTGCCCGCCTCCCAGCCGTGCCCTGCTGGGTGACCTGGTGTGCGGCATGCCCAGACAACACCCGGACAGAGGGACAGACCCCAGCATTCTGCCAAGGTCCTCCAGACCTGCATGCAGGTCCTGGTCCCGGGCTCCATTCTCATGTGTCCTTCCTGGCCCTCAGCTCCCAATGACAGGAGGGGTGGAGGTCGGGAGGGGTCTAGGGGCTGTGTCTGTCCCTGCTTGTCTTGCTGCAGCCCCAGCCATGGCACCTGCTCCCCCCTCCCCACCATACATACACAGAAGCACCCCGTGCTCTGGGGCCCAGGGCAGGTGAGGTGGACTCTGGGCCTGGGGAAGGTCCGGGGCATCACCTCTGGGGGAGGAGGGACAGATCAACCCCCTAGGGATCCCAGGAAGACAGGGGATCGCCCAAGTGTGAACAAGGTGCCCCACACCTGCTTTGTTTTCTGTGTCAACTCAAACAAGGCCACTGGTGGGCCAAGTATCTGGCCACCCAGGACTCAGAGACCCCCCACCCGAGACCTGACCAGACAATGTGACCTCAACCTGGAAGGGGGTGCTACAGGGCTTGAACCTCCTCCTCCTGGGGTCCCACTGGGAGCCGGAGACTGGATATGCTGGGGCAGAGGCTGGCTCATTTCTAAGGATCAGGGAGCCCCTGGCTGCAGGCAGCCCAGCTTAAGTAAAGCCACAACCCCAACTGTCTCCTCTCCCCACCACCTCCACTTCCAGCAGCCCCGCGGCCTCTCTGCCACCCTAGATTTCAGAACAGCAAGCACAGGGTGTGGCCATCCCTGGAGGGGATTGCAGGGTCTAAAGGGCAGGATGGTCCCCACTTTCAGGGAAAGGAAGAGGCCAGGGTGGGACTAGCGGCTCCATAAGGAAGCTGCCACCAGGGGGCGGGAGACCGGGCATGGGGCGGGTGACTCACGACAGCACTGCGAAGGTGGTCAGCGTGGCGGCCAGGCAGACCACTGACAGGGAGCAGCCCACGTAGCTGATGGAAGAGAGCGCCACCTGGTGTCCGTGCATGAGCTGTGCGGGGAGCGGGGCGTCAGCGCTGGGGTGGGGACCTGCAGCCAGCTGGTGGGGGGCTGCCTGTCTGGACACTGCAGGGTAACTGCACCGAGACTGCTGTCAGCCTGTCCCATCCTGAACAGGGTGGTGCTCTGCCATCCTGCCACCTAGAGTGCCCTTTGTTGCCCCAGGGGAGGGCCGGTCCTGGTGGTCAGCCCTGGGTCTTGCACATTTCAATGCCCAGGTGCGTTTTAAACACACCCATTCACCCCATGTCCTGATGAGCCGGAGGCGGAGGCACGCAGATGAGGAGGAGGTGGCCTAGCGTGGGTAGGCACAGGCGCTCACCCACCCTGCACCCTGGCCTGTCCCCTTGGGCCCCCTGCTCCAGTCCTGCTGGTCATCTGCTCCCACGTGCCTCCACCCTTCGCTCTCTCCCCGATTCCACAGCCTCTGCTGGACATTCCACACCCCCCCCCCCGGTGCCTCCCCACTGCATCCTGAGCCCATCTTCATTCACTCAGCCAAGACCTGGCCCCCACACCCTGCCGGTCACACCCAGTGGGGCCCCAGGTCGCACAGTGCTGCCAGGCCCACATTTGGCCCCATCAGCTGCTCAGCCACCCCCTTAGCCACCCTACTGGGGGCCCAGACAGGAGAGCAGCGCCCTTCAAGAACCAGGAGAGACTAGCCACTGCACGCTCCTTTCGTCCTGGCCTGCAGGGCTGCCCAGGCAGGCACCACAGTCTGGGGTGGGGGTGCGGTGACCAGGGCCTGCAGGGGTAGGGGACAGGGATGCGGATCAGCCACCCACATCGCTGACTCACAGCAGGGGGCCGTTTTCTAGGACTTGGAGACAGAGTGGGCACGAGAGCGCACAGCCAGGCACACACCTGCCGGGAGCCCGCTCACGCACGGTCCAGCTCTGGCACACTCACGGCCCTGGCATGCTCAGCTTACCCGACGCACCCACCCTGCTCTGTCTCTTGTCCTTGCCGTCCGCCTGGTCCTCTGTTTTTAGGCTACTGGGAGGCAGGTAGCAAAGGAGAGCCGGGTGTGTTGGCTGGGTCCCCCCACCCCCCCGCCGGAATCAGTGAGGTGTCAAAGGGTGGGTATGAGGCAGAGGGGAGCTGCCTGCCCAGGGCCCATCGCTGAAGCTGCCGTCAGGGCCGGAGGGGAGTGTGGCTGGGGCCTGCAGGAGGAGGCATTTAGGATAGGCCCACCCCAGGGAGCAGGAGAACGCCCCACAACCTCCCCCCTAAACTCTGCCCCTAGGACCACTGAGGCTGCAGGAGCTGGCCAGGCCCCAGCACTCTTCTCTCTACTGCCCAGGTCCTGTGCTGGGGACCCCACGCCTGTGGAGAGAAGGGCTGATGAGGAGGGTGTGGCTGTGAACTCCAACATGTAGGGGTCTGCTTCTCACTCAGACCCAGGGGCGAAACCCAGCCTGCCACCCCCATGCTTGCTCCGGGCTGATGCGGCTCCTCCAGCTGGACCCAGGCACTCTCGGGCCAGCGCTGACCACTCCAGCCTCAGCCAGCCCGGGGTTAGATGCTCAGCACTCAGCCTCAGACCAGGCGCTGGGTGCAGGGCTGGTGCTGGGCATTCAGGGCCAGGCCAGGAGGCCAGCCCATGGGGACGGTCCTGCAGTGTTGAAAGGTGCTGAGGCCCAGTGCAGTGTGTCCAGAGGGACCCTGAGTGACACCCACGGGAGGCAGGAGGAGGCTGGTTCCCAACAGCGGGTGGGTGCAGAGGGGTGGAGACAGCCCCAGCACAGCCAGGCACAGAGTGGGTGTTGCCACCACTTCCTGGCAGTCTGGCCTATGACCCAGGCCAGGTCTGCAGACAGTGGTTGTGTGAAGGCAGGACCTGACCGTGCCAGCCTCGGAGGGCGGGGCCCACCCTCAGCTAGATTTAGAAATGCCCAGAAAAGCCTGAGTTTGGTTCAGGGCATACAGGCCTGTGACTCAGAGACTACAAACTCAGATATCCCAGAAGCCAGCTGGCACCAGCCCAGTGCAAGCGGGACTTTCTCCCGGGAGGAGAGGCGTCCCCTGAGTCGATCCTTCTTAGTGGTGTGTCATCCCACTCCTGGAAAGAACAAGAAACATTTCCGCTTCCCCAAGCAGAGGCAGCAGTGAGTGGGGAGCCCTGGGGAGAAGTAGCATTTTCACAGCGCAGGACCCTGAATTGTCCGAAGTCTCCCAGAGTGCAGCCTCCCCTAGAGACTCTGGCCGTCTGCCCCGCAGGTCCTGGGGTTCAACTTCCCTTCGTGTCAGCCTCGCTGGGTTAGCTGCAGCTCAGTGTCACTCCAGAAATGGGGTGTTGCCCTGACACTCCCTTGGTCCTGGCAGGCAGCCCAGCTGCTCCACCCCAGAAGGATGCTCACCCCAGCACCCCTCTGGTCACCGAGGCTCTTGTACTCCTTGTCCTGTGCTTGGACACCTGATTAGCGGGTCCTAGGACCAGCCAGACACGCCAGGGGTTTGCCCCCCGCCCCCACTTCCCCAACACAGAGATTCAGCCTCCTGTGGAACTGGATGTCAAGGAAGTGGTTCTTGTCCAGGCTTAGAGCTGAGAAGGCCGGAAGGGGAGGGCCTGCCTTCTGGGAAGAAGGTTCTTCTCACTCAAGCAAAACTTGCCTTAAACCAAAGAAAGGAATCTCTCCCCTGGAGGCAGGGGTGGACTAGGATGCCCAGCCAGAGATCACATTAAGCGAGCTGAAGCAGAGAAACCCAGCGGGAGGCCTCATCAGAGGTTAACCTGAGACTCCAGGGTCCGTGTGGGCAGGCCACTGGGAGAGAGGGGTGCCCAGGCTGCTGGACCGCCCTCCCCCACAGGGCCGCCAGCTCTGGGGCTCAGGAGCGGCTCTGGTGTCCCGCCGCAGCCCGGGCCCAGCCTCGGCAGCTGTGCGCCCCGCCACAGCTTCCCGTCGATGCGGCCTGTGACTCGGGGTCAGCATGTCTGCACCACACCCTGCGGTCAGGGGCCACACTCGGCCAAGCTGGGCACAGACAGAACCCGAGGCAGGAGAACAGGGTCTGCCCTGTGTACACAGGTCACCGGGCCAGCTGTGGGTGCCGCAGCGGCCGAGGAGGAGAGGCACACGTGTGGGGAAGCCTGTGCTATGGGGCGGGGGTGCCTCCCCGCTGCCGGGACCCACCAGCGCCCGGCACAGCCAGGGGAGAGGGCACCCCTGGGCCCAGGTGGGGCCCTGGCTTGACTCTTACCTTCAGTGGGACCACCTGCATGAGGATGGCGAAGTTGGTGAGGTGGGTGCAGCGGCAGGTGGAGTAGCTGAGGTTCCCCTCCGTTGGTGCACACCCCTCGTCGGACCAGACACCCCCTGTGGAGCTGAGCACAGTGGGGCGCAGTCAGTGGGGCGCAGGCCACTAGGCGGCCAGGGCAGGACTGCACAGGTCGGGCCACGGGGTACGGCCTGGCCTTCAGGGAGGAGGCGTGGCTAAGGTGGCCCACCCTGGGGCCACACAGCAGCACCCACTTCTTGGGAGGTGAGCCTGGGCTGGGAAGGTGGGGAGTGCTAGTGCAGAGGAGTTCTGGGTGTGGGGTGCTGGCATCCCATGGGGCAGGGGGCTCCTGCGCCCTGGCAGAGTTGCCTGCACCATGAGCAGACCAGGACTGTGTCAATGTGCTGAGGCGGGCCCCGAGGCCGGCTCCTGAGCACAGCGCCCGTGTGCAGAAACAGGGTACAGACGGGATGGCGCCGCCCCCGTGGGCAGTGCTGCAGGCTGGTGGGGACCAGGGGGTGGGGATGGGCCAGCCGAAGTGGACATTCATGGACAACGCCAAGGCCCAGGCCCAGGTCACTGCACAGGGAGTGTGGGGGGTGGGAGCTGGAGGCACAAGGCAGAAATGGGGGCGAGGCCTTCTGTGCCACGTCACACTCCCCAAAGCAAATGTGTGGCTGTGTCACTGCTGTCGTTTCTTCACGTCTGGGAAACGGTGACTCGGTGAGGGCGTCTTCCAAACAGGAAAGGCCTTCTCAGACTAAAACTGAACTTGGTGCAGCAGACACACCACAAGTCGAGGAGGGGGATGCCGCACAGAAGCTCTGATGGCCACACACAAGTGCGGCAGGTGGCAGGGGAAAGGAGAATTTGCACGAGATTTCTTATCTTTTCATTGTTCTAGGAGGGAACTGATGTTCTACAGCAAACATGCCAGCCGGGCTCCGCATTTCTGGCGTCTGCGGAATGAGGTGTGGGACAAGGACAGTCTCGGACGGGCACGAGGGGCCGGCAGAGGGCCGTGGGTCTGAGTGGGAAGCAGGGAGGGGCTCTGAAGTGGACACAGGGGGCTTCAAGACATGCGGCTGCCACCAAGTAATGCGGAGGAAGTTTATGCGATATCAGTGGTGCAGTAAGATGGAGCCATAAACATACCCCAGGATCCAAATGGAGCAGGAAAGAGATGGAAACAGCAGAAGGATTAGACAGCTGGAATGGTGGATGTTACTGCAGCTACGTCAACGACTGCATTATTCAAACGTACCGGTACACAGAAGAGAGCAAAAACGTGAAATTGGGAATACACTCAACAGAGAGAAATCAAGGAGACCCAGAAGTTTCTTTGGAAAACAAATCAATAGAATTGGAAGGTGCCGGTAGCGGAGGAGGAGGAAGGAAATGACACAACCCGGGGGCTGGGGGTGGGGCGGGGGCGGGGGGTGGGGTGGGAAGCGGCAGCCTCAGGCTGCAGCCTGGAAACAGACGGCTTAGCCTGCACAGCAGACATGGTTTGAACAAACTCTTCACAAACGCACCCACTGCTCAGACCCTGAGGAGACAGCTCCTGTCTGTTGCAGAAGCCGGCACAGAGTGTAGGCCTGCCAGTACCAGGGCTCGGCACTGAGCCCTCCCGGCCCTGGCTGGAGAACAGCGCCGGGCACAGTCCGCCGAGGCGCACTGCAGGGCGGGCCTTCACAAAGGCACCATTACCAGACTCAAAAGCCAAAGACACTATCAGGAAAGAAAACGACAGACCAGCGTCTTTTGTGGACACGACACACAGGCCCTCGGAAATCCTAGCACATTAAATTCAGCAGTAAAAATCCCAAAAAGGACAGAAAGATGACGCATCCCGACGACGGGGCTGGTCCAGGAAGGCCGAGCTGGCTGGACACTGCTCTGCTTGTGCCCCAAAATGGGGACAGCAAGGGATCTGGCCCCGGAGGTCAGAGAGCACGGGGGACCCTACTCCGCAATACAAGTGACTGGTTGGGGCAGACCGAAGGCCCTGGGGGTCCCCTTCGGCTGGCCTCACTGCCACAGAGCCTCAGGCCACGCCCTGTGCGGCAGCCCGGCCTGGCCAGAGCAGCACCTGCTGCCGGGTCCTGCCGGGCAAGTCCTTTGGGCGCCTCCAAATGGGGTCCCACACCACCCTGCCTGAGCTGGGCCCCAGCGCCGGGGCTCGCTGGGCCGCCCCCACTCGGTGTGTCCCCTGCCCACCCGTGGCCCACTGTACCTCAGGTCCAGGAAGGCGCAGTACAGGAAGATGCGGTGGTCCTGGCCAGTGGCCTCGCTGTGCTGCCGGCGCGTCTGAAAGGAAGGGGCAGCGAGGCCATGAGGGGTTGTGCGCGCTCGGAGGAGAGCGTGTAGCCAGGCATGGCGGCCACCCAGCCACAGACAGGGCCCCACAGCAGCTGCACCTGCTCTCCCGGCCCACTCCACACCAGGCCTGCCTCGGCTCCTGTACCTGCCGCAACCCCCAACACCTGCCCTCCGACCCCCGCCGCTGCCCCCGCCTCTGCCGAGCACCAGCTCCAGGATTCATACAACATGAGGGCTCCCGCCCTCCTCTCGCCTAGTTGTCAGGGGTTGGCCCCCCCCCCCAGAGTGTCCCTGGGCACCCATTCCCATCTGTTCTCCCCTCCAGCCCAGGTGATAGAGGAAAGAATAGAAAATCCAAAGGAGGCATCACCAGACTGACTCAAGGAGCTGGGGGTACAAGGGATTAGCATAGCCAATGGCCCAGCTACAGAAACTACGATCCCTAGGTGCCATCGCCTCAATCACAAAGCACATGGCCCAAGCAGGTATCACACTGCGGTAGGGGTGTCTGGAGCGCAGACCCAAAGATATGGAGACTGGGCCCTTGATGGGGTCTCCTGTCTCTTTCAGATTCTACATAGTTTACTCAAAATCACAGCAAACCCAGGCTCCCAAGGAGGGAGCCCCTCCCTAGGAGAAGTCTAAATCGGTGCGGTCTCTGCCCTGGCCCTGGACAGCTGTCCGCTGCCCACCTGTGCTGAGGCAGGTGTCCTTCCCACCCACTCTCCCCTCCACCGGGCAGCAGCTTCCTGCCTGCCCGTGACCTGTACCTGCTGGGGCTTCTCACTGTACCCCCTCGGCAGAGTGCGCTCTCCAGAGCTGCCCGCCTGCACCCATGCAGGCCTCTCAGCAAACCTGCCCCTTCCAGGGCAGCTCTTCTTGCCAGTGTCCTTTACTTTTCTGTCCCTTTTCTAATAAACCTGTTGTTTAAATATCTCGTGGAGAAACTCGCCTGGGGAACTCGCTGTGTTCTGCTGAAAGGGGAGCTCTGGTGAGACATTTTCCAGAGTGAACCCAAGGACCCCACACTCCAAACCTACAAACTCCAAAAAAAGACATCACAAGCATTGCCTTCCCAGGGGTCCAGAGCACAATGGGTGCCCACTCACCACCCAGCACCCACCCCAGCCTGAGTAAGGGTCAGACACCAGCCAAACAGCCATAGGGAAGGGGCCATTGCCCCCAGCAAAAGCAGGTATTCGGAGCGATCACCTCATGACTTGTTTGTCACCACCGGTTAATGCAAGCCAGAGCCAGTTCCTTGTCAAAATTTTCCACCTGGCCGTCCCCCCCCTCCCCACCTCCTAGGCCTACAAAAACCCCTCTTATGCTTCCTTCAGCACGACTTCTCTGACCTCAACTCTCTCTGGGCTCAGTGAACCTCGCCCGGGAGCATAGAAATAAACCTATTTTTGGTTTCACTGGGCTGGCTATCTCTTTGCTATCCACCGTGGATAGGCCCTGCAGCCTCCACAGAGGCCAGGGCAGGCTGGCACCTTTGTGGCAGCACAGCCCTCCGGGAGAGTGGAACGTCTCTTGTAGAGAGGGCGGGAGACCTGCACCAGGTAAGAGGTTGGAAGCCAGCAGTCGGCGGCCCTCCTCACCGCCAGAGTCTGCGTCTGAGGGCCACAGTCCCCACCAGCCCTGACCCCCAAGTCCAGACCGAAGTCACCTTCAAGGGGAGTTTAAATTCAGCTCTGTGGGGGGGACAGGGTGAAGGGCAGGCTCCCTCCAAGACCGATCAGCTCGAGGCCAGGCCAGTCCTGCCCTCTGTGGAAGGCTGGGTCTGCATGGGGAGACACGTGCCCAGACCAGGCTTTCATAGGTCAGAAACACTGCCCTGGCACCCCAGAGCACCCCAGCCCTGTGTCCCTGTGAGCTCAGACTTGCAGCCTCAGCCCTATGGGGAGCACCATCCTGCTTCCAGGAGCCCCCAGCAGTGGCATCCTGGGGCTCCCTACATGAAGTGAGGCCCCGAGACCTCTCGGTCCTGGGTGGCTGCCCCAGGCTGTCCTACCAGAGTTCACCCACCACGAGCCTCCCAGCCACTGGCGTGTTCTGGGGCTGAAAAGCGGGGATCATCTCCCCCAGCAGCAGGGCCTGCCTGTCCACACGGCGGGCAGCTCCCCAGCCCACCTTGGCCCCTTTACCGCCTCCCACCTCCCTCTGCACTGTGGGGCCATGCCAGCCCTCTCCCGGCCCTGGTGTGCCCTGACGGGGCGGGGGGTCTGGCCCACAGAGGACAAGTGCCCGTGTGGCCTGGGAAGCAGCGACCCCTGAGGCCTGCTTGTCCTCCCCACTCCAACTCCTTCCCCACCACGCAAAGGCGTTCATACCTCTGGGGCCCTTCCCGGCCCAGTTCTCACGAAGCCTCTTGAACGTGGAACACCCGTATTAGAATTAATTTTTCTTTAGACACCAGTTTGAGATTTGCAAAGATGTTCCACCGTGAATCACGGTATGGTCTCAACTTCTCTGATACTACACTCAAAGTGATGCCATTTTCCAGGAACCATAAGCGACTTGACTGAGAAAAGAGCGTAGGCATCTGGAAGCCAGGTCTGCGCTGGCCTGTCCAGGGAGCCGGTCAAGGGCCTGTGCTCCCTTTATGTCAGCAGCCCAGGGAAAAATCCACCCTTGAAATGTCCTCCCCATGTATGAAAAAGCAACGCTGACAGGTAAGATCTCAGCATTCACACAGATGGGGACCAGTCCAAACACCTCTGGCCCACAGGCTGAGGGTCGGAGGGGACAGCACGGTCCGGGACAAGTCAGGGCCCAACCAGCAGCACTGCTCACGCCTCGGTGGGGTGACTCCATGGAGGAGGACACTCCTGTGTCCGTGTCTCCTTGCACAGGATCACAGCGTGGCTCGGGGACCGAGGACAGGCGCCCCCACACACTGGCAGGCAGGCGGGTCGCTCCCCACACAGACACCCGCAGGCTTCCTGCTGTCCACACGGCTTCCTGCAGGTGGGGCGGCTTCTCACGTCTAATGAACGAGATGCCTCGGCTCACAAGCTAAACATTTTTTTTTTTTTTTTAAA